CTCTTGCTCAATAGTACTGGTTAATAAAATCTGGTAATCCAGTCAAGGTAAGGTTATAAGGATTCAATCCTGTGGGGATGAAGATTTAGGTCACTCCACCAGGTATGTATCCTGTTCTGCTGAGATGCTGACAGAGGGTAAGGGGAACAGAGAGTGGGTGGCAGAAAAGAGGACTCTGATTATCAATCTAGGGCTTGCTTCCAGCTACAGAAGCAAAGACTATAGCAATTATATCTTATGTTTGTAACCCCCTTTTCCTTTCTACTTTATGAAAAGCACTGGTAGTGGCTAATATTTTAAATTTTATGCAGGAGTATGAATGAATCAACATCATGGTGAAATGATGACAGTAGCTGATGGGACTTTGTATGTTCCATTTGAGGGCATGGGTTTTTCATCTGGACAAGGGGCAAGAGTGCTGTGGAGAGGCAAAAGGAATGGTCTGTGCTGAAAATTCTGTTTCCCCTTTCAAGATCTGCTTTCCACCCTTCTCCTCCTTGCTCTGTCTCCTGACCCATATGAACAGCATTTGCCAAGCTTCCTTGCTTTATGGCTTCCAGTAGCCATCAGCCAATGGGAGGTATCAGCAAGAGACCAGACGGTGGGAGGACAGAAAGGTCAGGGTATTTATCTCCCATACTCCTTCCCTGGTGGGGTATGAGCTGGCAGCGATTCCTCTCCAGAGGGCCACAGTCCCTGCTGAATGTTACTTTCCTTATTTTTCTTTATTTCATTAGTTTTTGGTAACCACTTTCTTGTCTTGCCCCTTCAGGCTTAGGGGTGCTAATGCCTTCCAGTGTTGCTAGCCCTGAGGTGCTGTGTGCATTGCTAGTTTCTCTTAATCCAGCCCACACCCTTATGCAAGATTCCTTCATTAAACTCTCTTTAATTATCCCTGTTGACTGTATCATGTTTCCTGTCATGAACCCAGTTGATACAATTCCTAATATTTGTTTATATGTACCTTCTTTCTTCTTTTTATAATCTGTCTTGACAGAGGTTTGTCACTTTTATTAGACTTTTCCACGAACGAATTTGTGGTTTTAGTGATACTTTCTATTGTATATTTTCTTTTTTTAATTAATATTTGCTATTTTAAAATGTCCTTATTTTTGCTTTCTTTCATTCACTCTGTTGTTTTTATAACTTTTTAAATTGGGTGCTTAGCTTTTTAATTTCCAGTCTTGTTTCTTTCTTTTTTTTAAAATTTTATTTTGGTATTATTAATCTACAATTACATGAAGGACATTATGTTCACTAGGCTCCCCCCCTCACCAAGTCCCCCCCACATACCTGTTCACAGTCACTGTCCATCAACATAGTAAGATGCTGTAAAATCACTACTTGTCACCAAGTTCACAGTCACTGTCCTTCAACACAGTAAGATGCTGTAAAATCACTACTTGTCTTCTCTGTGTTGCACAGCCCTCCCCGTGCCCCCCCACTATACATGTTAATCGTAATGCCCCCTTTCTTTTTTAATAATACAACATTTAAGGACATAAATTTATTTCTAATTACCAGTTCGGCTGCACCCACCACTTTTTTTCATTAGTTTTGATATGTAATATTTTCATTATTGTTCAGTTCTAAGTATTTTCTAATTTTTGGTATGACTTTTTTTGTTTGACTTGTGATTTATTTCAAAGTCTGTTTTTAAATTTCGAAACACAGTGCTTTCTTTTTTTGTTACTGATTTCCAATGTAATTGCACTGTGGCCAGAAAATGTGAACTGTATGAGACTGAGTCTTTGAAATTTGTTGACTTTTTTTAAACCTAGTATATGATTAAATTTCATAAATGCTCCATGTGCTAGACCACCACTAGATGACACATTGCTTTTGTGTGAATTAGGGAAATGTGCTCTTTTTTCCAGGTACCACACCTGAGCACATAGTTTGGCAAGAGGAGCATGGGATGGATTTTAACTCCCACTTTCCCCTTGTCCAGGTGCTCTTGATCAGTGAATAATCTGTACATGGTAGTTCATTCATGTGTTCTTGTAAAGAATGTTTATTTTCCGCTTGCTAGGTACAGTGTTCTGTGTATATATACTAGATCAAACTTGTTCATTGATGTTCAAATTTTCTATATCCTTACTGATTTTTTTGTCTGCTTCATCTATCAGTTTCTAAGAGAGACAAATTAAAGATTTTCAGTGTGGTGGTAGATTTCTATTTCTCCCTGTAACTTTTGCTTCACTTATTTCAAAGCAGTTGAGTACATTCAAGATTAAGATTATTATACTTTCTTGGTGAATTGAAATTTTTATCACTATATAGTAACACTCTTAAATCTAGTATTTATTTTTCTCTTAAAGTCTATTTTGTCTAATATTAATCTAGCTATAACAACTTAATTTTTGTTGTCTTAGTATTTGGTGTATTTTTCCCATTGTTTTTATTTTTAAACTTTTTGTGTCCCTGTGTTTTAGGGATGGCTCTTAAAAATACCCAGACTTCTTTAAATCCAGACTGACAATCTTTACTTTTAACTGGAGTATTTAGTTCATTTACATTTTATGCAATTATTGACATATTAAAGTTTAAAGCTAACATCTTCCTCTATATTCTCTGTCCCACTTTTACAAAAAGCTTTTCCTCCTTTTTAGCCTTTTTTTGGATTGATAGATTTTCTTTCTCTTTCTTTAATTTTTTCCCCCTTTTGGCAGTTTGGAAGATATTTAATATCCTTTTATGTAAGTGGTTATCCTAGAAATTTTAATATGAATATTTAACATAACTAAATCTTTAGATAATAAAAATCCATTATCACTACTCAGTTCCAGGAGATAGTGCCACAAAGGATACAGCTTTTGCATTCATTCTTCAGTTATTTTACTTATTTTGTCTTGTTTTGCTCTTACGTGGCTCCTGCTTGGTCTCATTAACCTTTTTCACTGAGATGGTAACATGACTCCCTGACTTCAGTTAACCTAAAATCACCCTGCCACATCATGCATCAACACTGTCAACACAGGCTACCTCATTCCTAGCCTTCACCACAGACTTCAGTCCCTACCTAGTCCATTGGTACCCATGAATTAGTGAGATCATCAGGGAACAGCACTCCCAGCTGCTGAGACAAAACCAGATGCTGACAGCAAAGAACAGGCAAGCCAACAACAAAGATGCAAAAGGTACACCTTTGCAGTCCTACAGAGCAAAAATCCAATTAGCCCTGAGGAATTCCTGAAGGAGTCATCATACCATGTAAAAATAGTTCTGTAGCTTCTGGGAGAAGGGAAAACCAAGTCCTCAAAGGGCATCACTGCAGTCAGGTTATACCACAACTGTGTGATATGAACACTGCACAAAGTTCAGTGTTTGCAAGAAGTCACTGAAAAAATGGCAAGGTAAGAAGCTACAATACAGCAGAATATTGTAGCTCAGTGGTTCTCAACAGGGGGTTATTTTTCACTCCCGGATACATGCAGCAATGTCTGGAAATATTGTAACAACTAGTGCAGGGGTTGAGACTGTCATCTAGTGGGATATTGCAGAACATCCTGCAAGAAACAGTGTCCCTTTTTGCCTCCACAAAGATTTATCTGGCTCCAAATGTGGATAGTGGCCAGTGCTGCAGATTATATAGTGAAGTATACATAAGCAGCAGGATAGAGCTTCTTGTATCACAGAAGCCTTCCTGTAATAATCATTTCAAATATTTTAGAGGGGAGGATGATGGTACAATGAGGATTCACTATACCATTCTGTTCACTTCTGAAATATTCCATAATAATGAAAAATGAGAAGATCAGAGGGTACTTACATCTCTGAGCTTTCTTGAAGTGGCAAAGAGTTTTTCTGAGATGTCATTGCAACTGAATAGTATATATTTTCTAACAGTGGCTTTAGAATTTCAACATCAGACAGGACTTTAGGAGACTAGATATAGCTGAGGAAAAACAACCATAGAAAAATATAGCATTTTCCCAGAACTTATTCTGAATACAGCCTCTTTCCTGAACAGTTTTTCAAAGCAAATGAACCTGGTGCATTTGGCAAAACTTGCCAAATTTAGAAGATACTAGTTCTAAAGTTCATAAGTTAACATTTATGTGGTAAGATTTCATTTGGTTTGTTTGTATTTTCCAAATTTTGTGCTAATTAAAAACCTTTCTATTTTGTATTTTTAAAACCTTTTTAGTTTTATTTATTTTTTAAATTAAGGTATCATTGATATATACAATCTCATGAAGGTTTCACACGAACAACATTGTGTTTTCAACATTCACGCATATTATCAAGTCCCCCCCAACCTCCCCCCGCCGTCGACACCCCATTGCAGTCACTGTCCATTAGCCTAGTAAGATGCTACAGAGTCATTACTTGTCTTTTCTGTGCTGTACTGGCCTTCCCCGTGACCTACCTATATTATGTGTGCTAATTATAGTGCCCCTTAATCCCCTTATCCCTCCCTCAGCACCCACCCTCCCCAACCCGTTCCCTTTAACAGCTAGTCCCTTCTTGGTAAAACCTTTTTATTTTTAAAAGTTGCACAGAGAATCACTCTACATCCTTCACTCAAGTTCCTAAAATGTTAACATTTTACACTTGCTTAATGGCAAGTATTAAAATTAAGAACTGAACACTAATGAAATATTATTGTTTAGTCTACAGATGTTCAGATTTGCTTAAGTGTCCCAACAATGCCCCTTTTAGCAAAAGAAAACATGTTTTTTTCCTGGCTGGGGATCAGTTGTTTCCATTCATCTGGAAGAGTACCTCAGTCTGTCTTTGTCTTTAGTGACTGACAATTTTGAGGAGTGCAAGCCAGTAATTTTGTAGACTGTCCCTCAGTATGTGTTTGTCTGATGTGCGTTCAAGAGGAAATTCCAGCTGTGTGAATATTGGTCATGATGGTACTTCGCAATTGGTTAGTGTTTTTAGTACCTTTTCATGAGGCACACGCAGCCTGTCTAATTTGCAGGAGGTGCTTCTTTTCACCATAGGATAGTGTGTGCCATGGTTTCCCACCACAACGTTAATATTTCGCTCTTTGAAATAGTACCTGTTGGGAGATACTTGGAGACCAAGTAACGTAAAGTTGTTTCCAGGGTACTTGCGCCCCCTAGTTTTGCCAAGGTTACAATGACAGCGGCAGACACAGTAGGGTGTCAGTCCTGGTGGCTGTGCTTCCCAGGGCCAATTTCTGTCTTCCCCCTAGATTGTATCCCTTGTATTACCATAATGCCTGGCACACAGTGAATGGCAGTTTCTTACCCGATTCATTTCTTTTATGTCAGCAGTTAGCAATGTGTATTGTAATTAACTGCCTGTATGTCTTTCCCACAGATTGTGAGCTTGTTGAGGGTAGTCATCACGGCTTATTGCTTTTCTATCCCCCGTGTCTGTCACATATTAGGTGCTTGAAAATTACATGTTTCAATTAGTGGCGTGCAGCAGACGCTAGGGAAGAAGGTAAGGGCTACAAGTCAATCAGCGGACGGCACTTTTCCTGCTCTAAGCGGAAGTGAGGGCAAGGGTAGCGGAAGACGCGGCCGGCGCAGTCCGCATGGAAACCCACACATCTCAGCCACCACGCTGGCGGCTGGGCCTCAGAATTCCACGGGTGGGGAGGAGAGTGGGGCGGGAAACCGAAAACCGAATTCTGTGCTCCCGGCATTCCACGTGGGCGGTGCTCCCCTTTGACCCTTCGCTCCCTTGCTACATATCCGGGCTTCTGCTGCTACTAGTCCGGGGAAGATGGCGGATGCAGCTGTCGTGCTTCCTGTAGAGTGGATAAAGAACTGGGAGAAATCAGGGAGAGGCGAATTGTGAGTGTTCAGGTTGGAGGCGGGCGGGGGCCGGGGCGTCAACTACGCTCTCACCTGTGCTGGGAGGTTGGGAGAGGGGTGGCAGTGCTCCTTCCGCCATCGCGCGACGGGCGGGGATGGTTGTATTGGAGTTTCGAACTCGGGGAGGAGCGGTGCTGGTTCACCGCCGCTGACCTCCTTCCTTCCCTGGTCTCCTGAAATCCCCGCTGCCTGTCTTAGTCTGTCATCCTTTAGCCTCTCTGCAGAACTCCCGTTCTGCCCCAGCGGGTCCCCGCGCTCCCGCTCGGTGTCTTTTTTTGTCCCCCTTAGCTTGAGCTCACTTGGCTCCTTTCTCTTTAAGGGGCCGCGCTGGGGGGTTCGGACTTTTCGTCGCTCTCAGTCTCATTTCTTTACTCTGCACCCGTTTGACTCTGCAGTGTGGAGCCAGGCTCCCCCTCTGCCCGAAGTCCGAGGAGAGCGAACCGTCCCGGACTCCCTCCCCTGCTCTCTGCCCTGCGCCGCCGCGAACCCCGGGCCGTCGCGAAGAGCCCTGCTTGGCTCCTCTTGTCCTGCCGGGGAGCGGTCTCTTGGACTGTCCCGGCCTCGCGCGGCGCCGCTGCAGTGGGAGAAGTGTAGCAGGGCTTGCCGCTGTCCCCGAAGACCTACTGGCATTTCTTTGCTCCGTCTTGTCACCTTAGGGCCCTTTAGGGTTGGCGTCAACTTTCGTCATTAAATGTTTCCTAAACCCCATTTTGTCCTGGGACTGTAATTTTGGCAACTCTCCAAGGTTCTCGAGTACCTAGAATAACGCATTTCCTTTAAAAGTCATAAAAGTTTTTTTTTTTCTTTCCGGTAATACAGAAAACAGTTAATGGGCCGTACACGGTTTTCTCACCCAAAATTTCAGCTCGCTCTCTCGGGGGAAAAAAATCGTTTAAGCAACAAAACAAACCCCAGATTAAAAAAAAAACACCACCACACAAAAGCCAAAACTTATTTCTGATTTCCTTCACTGAATAGCTTGATTAACTAAGGGTCGACGATGTGCGGGAACAAACCCATTTTGCCGTCCTGCCCTCCCCTTCCCTTCCCCCGCAGTTTACGGTTTCTGGAATGGAAGATACAGATCTTTGGAACTTCATTACTTGGAACGAAATGCGGGGACACGTTACCCGATCTTGCGCCTGTAATATTGCCGCTGTATGTGGCCTCCCGCCGCGCCCCGCGCCTGCCCTCGCCCCCCACCCCCACCCCACGCGCGCGCCTGGTGCTAGTGCTGGTGCTGGTGCTGGTGCAGGTGTCCGCGGCGGTAGCCGCACCCGCACCACTTTATGAAAAGTCTTAACTGTGCTAGCTCTAGAATTGAATAGCTTGGGTAAACGGCAGTCTCAGCCACTTAACCAGCCAAGTGACCTTCGGTAAGTTCCTTAACTACGTTGACCGTCTCCCCTTGAGTAAATTGGTATTAATAAGTACTCAGAAGGATTGTTGTGAAGACTAAATAATGCGTGTAAAGCACTTGGCTTATAGTGAGTGCTCAAGTGATAGCTATTAAAAGTAATACATTATTACGATCTTTAGATATTAAACTTCTTTGGACAGCTTTTGCACTTAACAGTCTGTACCACTCAGATTAGCAATTAATTAGTCTTTGACTCTTTCGTGTGTACTTTCGTACGCTAACGAATCTAGAGACTCTTGAAGAGTGGCAACTCTCTTATTTTGGTTCAACTCTCCTCCCGCCTCGCCCATGCCTCCACTACTGCGGCCTCTGCCCCTCCCCCCTCCGCCCCCAACCTTTCTAGCCTTTCTAGCATATGCTTAGAGTACTTATTGGTTTATTATGACAGAAATCTATTTGATAAACATTCATTTTTAGCTGTTATAGGAACATTTGCCAAATCCTTGTATGTACTAGTTAACAATTATCTATTAAGTCCTTTGTGCTGTTAGGGAAGGCACGGTGGGAAGTTACCATACCAAACCATCATTTTAATCTGTTAGATTAGGATAAGCCCCAAAACTGATAAATCAGTTTGCTGTTGCTTTGTTTACTTTTAAAGCCAACTAGTTATTTAGGGGCTGTTCATCTTTGCATATTTGTACTTCTAGCTGGTTTTGACAGTTTTACTATTACTCCCACATTAGACAGATTGGTATTAGGGCTAGGAGGTGAAATTCTGCTTGGCTTCTGACTGGCAGTGGTTGGGGAAAAACAAAGTAATGTAGGAGGTTGAAATACCTAGTTAAAACGGAATTTTGGATTCACTTTATATTTACATGATCCCTGTCATTACTATGCTACCCGTCATAGTTCCATTATCTGAAGAGCTATTTGAAAACTGTTATTAGGACTTAATGTGTATGTAGTTATTTCATGGCTTGAGAAAGGTAGTTTGAATTACAGTAGATCCAAATCAGTATAGTTAGTTTTATAACTGCATTCTGTTATATGAAGAGAATTTATAATTATTGTGCGATGTAATGCAGTATTTTAAAAAGTCACATCACCGTAATTAATCTTCACTTATTTGACCTCTTTTCCCTCTTTGAAAACTTTGTCACGTACAAAACTTTGGAGTTTCTGTATTTTGTAAAGATAGGTGTTAGCGTTTTCATTCTATTGGAAAAATGGTGTTGGAAATATATTGCAAAACATCTTTTCCTTTGTCTGAAAACAGCCTCTTAAATATAAATCAGCAACTGGAAATGTTAAAAACAAAGGTAATGTGCCACCAAATTATTAGTGAACCCATTTATAGATTTGGCTTTTATAATTAATATTTAAACATTTTGGTAAATTTTTTCTTTGAAAGGAGATAAAATAGCATAGGGCTTTAACTTAACTGAAAATTATCTTTTTAAAAGATCTTTATGTATTTCATGTGCTGCTTTTGTCCATCATTTCTTACCAGTATGTCTGTATTTTGGGAGTTGTAGTTAATTTTTAGTATCATAGCGTTTTTCAGAGAGGGCAAATTCTTGCAAAGCAACTATTAATATAGAAAGGCTTGGCTTTGAAGAATAAGTTTTGTTAGGTAATTAAGAAGAAAAAACCTATTTTGCATATCTGAATGGTCCATCACATACCTAATTAACCTGTGTTAGTTAATACTAGTTTTGCTAATGGTAAATTACTGATATCAAAAGGACAGAGGAGCACTATCAAAACATAAGTGTCCTTTCCAGAAACAGCTCTAGTCTTTAAGTTTCACATCTAAATTCAAAGTCTCAAATTCTGTGACATATGCAAGATACGGATTTAATTAATTTTGGAATTAGAGTTTTAGTTTCTTGATGATTTCCTATTAGTATAGGACTTGCCATGATTAAGCTAATAAACTTGGACGTGCTAGTAGATCCAGTGGATAATTCTGTTTTTTAGTAGCAATTATTAACACAGTGAACTCAGCATTTCTTTGTGTCACAAGCAATCTTAATGGAGGAATTATGTTCCAAGCTCTTAATGGGAAGAAGTTAGCCTCATGTCAATACTTGGTCTAATTTTGAAATACTTTAATTTGCTGAATATCATCTATTTGTTTGAAGAACTTAATTGTTTTTCTTTTTAAAAATTTATAATTTAGAAATTTTTGTTAGGTCTTACCTTATAAACTTTGGTAGTTGTAATAAGGTTTTATTATAATTGCCAAATGTTTTGGTTGCCATTCTTTGTCTTCTGCTACTAAATGATTTTACACATTTCAGAACTTAGCTAAGTACATTTGAGTGTTCATTCAGTGTTCATTCAGTGAAAAAATTAGGAAGTAGGAGGGGGAAGTTCATGGCAAATAATCATTCTAAGAAGTTTTCATCTTGGTAGTTGAGTCTCTTTTTTCTATAAGAGGTGCTCTAAGTTCAGCTGAATTTTTATTTCAAACCTTTTCTTCATATCTTTGTTTTCATTTGGCATTTAGTTTCTTATTTTGACCTTCAAAAGTTAAGTGTAAGTCTTGGTCTTTTTTCCTGTTGAGAAAAATGCATTCAGAAAATGTAGCAGTATCAGATTTTCCTAGGGTACTGCTTTATGAGATTATTCTTCAATGCTTAAATAGTAAGGTATAGTGATTGCTGTTAATGTACTTGTATGCAGGAACTCTGTTGTCTTATTTAACATTTCCTGTTCCTTTTCTTCCTCATAAGTGCATATTTTCATTCTTGTAATTACAGGTTTCAAGATGAAACTATGTGTCCAATACTGATTTTTGTGGATTATGTCTTCTCTTTTGACAATTATATAGAGGTAGCACTTTGCTTAACCATATTTAGTCTGTTTTGTTGGTTTGTTTTTAGGAATTAATTGAAGTGCAGATTGACATCTGTTTTCTATATGTGAAGCCAACTTTGAGTTGTTGGCCATCATCAGGTAATTCAGGCTTATGCTCTGTTTCCTTTTTTACTGGAAAATGGGACCAACTAAGGTGGAAAACTAAATACCTATGTTAAGAAGTATTCACAAAATGCTTAAGTCCTTTGGAAGAACTTAAAACGTTTTATTCAGTTCAAGTTTCACAGACCTTAAGCAGAAAGTAGATTCTGTCTTTGTCTCAGGGACTTGAGATGGCATCTGCACAATAGCACCACACTGTTTTAAAGGTGGAAAAAATGGTGAATTCAACTTGGAGGTTATTAGGGGACTAAAATAATGTGATTTTGGATTGAGTCAGAATATTTGATATTTTAAGCCACATTAAAATGGGCAACTGTTCGAGATAGTTCTGTTTGTTTTCTCTCCTTACAATTTAGGATAGAATACTAAAAACTGTTTAACAGGTGTAGTGAGACATGCAGCATTCAAAAACAATTGTTTCTTTTAGGATGCTTTATGATCCTTTGTTGATGGCTTACTTGGGGAAAAGAGCATGGACAAATCTGACTAGGGTAAAATCTTTAGCAAGTGTTTGAGTTTCCTACTACAACTAAGGAAGAACTGTTTTATACTGGGGAAATAAAAGTGTCTGCTCTGGAAGCAAATTGCCTTATCATAATAGCCCATCAGTAAGTCCTCACACAATTTGAGC